CCCGGCTGCGGGCAGGGACCCCCGGGGGATGCAGAGCTGAGCACTGGTGTGAGCATCACCCCTGGACCGCCCCCATCCCCCCGGCCGAGTCTGTGTCCGTCTGGTGTCCGTGTCCCTACGTCTGTCCGTGTGTCCCTGTGTCTGTCCCTGTGTCTGTCCCTGTGTCTGTCCCTGTGTGTGACACCACTAGATGTCACCAGGATCCCGCGGCGCGCAGCGCCCTGGGGAGGGAGGGACCGCCCGCCTGGAGAACCTGGAGCATCCTCGGCCCTGGATCACCCGTGGGAGCCAGAGGAACCAGGTACGGACCGGCTGGAATCGGCAGCATCCTTGAGGCTGGATCCCCAAAGGGATCGGAGCACCCTCTGCCCCAGACCACCCATGGGAGTCAGAGCATCCTGGGACCTGGAATGGCTGGTGGGATCTGGTGCTCCCCTGAGGCAGCAGATCAGGTGTAACCACCTCTGTTGGGGTGCAGGGCTGCTCCCCCAGCCCTTCCCTTGGGCTGCTCTCACTCACCCGGACCCCCTGAGCAAAGACACCTCAAAGCCCCTGCTGAGGTTCCCCCCAACAACCCCATCACATTCTCCTCCCTCCCACCTCCACCAGGGGCTTGTTCCGTGGGGCACAAACCTCAGGAACTGCGAACTCACCACCATGGTGTGATTCAGCAGAGCTGAAATCCCGGTGCAGCCCCGGAGCCCGATGGAGACCTGACACACCAACAGCAAAGTCCAGGCCCCGCTGCAGCCCAGGGCAGAGTCCTGGAGCCACCACCCTGGAGCTTTGCCCACAGGAAGAATCCCGTGACAGCAGGAGGTGGCAGGTGGTACGTGGGATCCTCCCTACCAGAGGATCCACTATCACCTTTCAGCCTCTCCTCAGGCTTTATTACTGACTGGGAAATGAATTACCAGAGTTAATCTGCTAAAGCCATAAAAGCCACCATAAACTGCAAACCTTGAGCCCTCAGGCTGTGCCATGGCTGGGACAGGCTGATGTGGCTGGCATGGGATGGCCATAGCTGGGCAGAGCAGGGACAGGATTCCCTCCACCATGGCCCAGCTGAGAGCCTTGGAAAAGCCTCAAAGGGGATGAGATTTGGGGGTTCATCCTTTAGGATACTTGGTAAGACATAAAGCTTCGCCCTGCTGAGAGCAGCACTGTGTAACCCAATACCAAACAGCTTTAGAAATGTTTATAACTGTGTCCAGCTGAACTATCTCAACTTCCAGCAGCCAAAGAGACAGAGCAGCCCTCAGTCCTTCAGGATCACATGGACATGGATCTTGTCCCATCCACACAGCAGGGACAATGGCCGTGTTTGCTGAGGGGCCTCGGTGGCAGCCAATCCAAGGACAAACGAGCCCCTTCACTGCTGAATTCCTCTTACCAGGGAGCAGCAGCCATTTGTAACCAGCTCTTTAATTAAAGGCATTGCCAGGGGCATAAAGGCTTTATTAAATCTGCCTGAGCTTTCCCTGAGCTGGTGGTAATGAAATCCTGCCGGCACTGCCGGGATGGGAACGTGCCCGTCGGGGAGCAGAGCCAGTGCTGGCTGCCCTGGTGTGGATCTGCAGGGCCAAGGGGTGCTTGGGACTGCTCAGGGATGCTCAGGGACGCTCAGGAATGCTCAGGACTGTTTGGTGCTGCTCAGGGATGCCAAGGGATGCTTGGAGCTGCTCAGGGATGCTTGGGGCTGCTTGAGACTGCTCAGGGATGTTCAGAGATACTCAGGGATGTTCAGGGGTGCTTGGGGCTTCTCTGGGTTGCTCAGGGATGCTTGTGGCTGCTCAGGGATGTTCAGGGATGCTATAGGATGCTCAGGGATGCTTGTGGCTGCTCAGGGATGTTCAGGGATGCTATAGGATGCTCAGGGATGCTTGTGGCTGCTCAGGGATGTTCAGGGATGCTTGGGGCTTCACTGGGATGTTCAGGGATGCTTGTGGCTGCTCAGGGATGCTTGGAGTTTTGCTGGGATGTTGAGGGATGCTTGTGGCTGCTCAGGGATGCTCTGGAATGCTCTGGGATGCTCAGGGATGCTCAGGGCTCACACAGCTTCCTTCAGATCAGTGAGCTGAAGTGGCTCAGCGGGTGCTGCTCCAGCTCCCCAGTTATCAGCCTGGCACCTGCTCCAGCTTTGTCATGAGGCACCCAGGGATTGGTAGGAGCACCATCAACTGATAATTCATGGTAAAACCAGCAGTTCCTGTCCTTCCCCAACTGCTCCCCCTACCCTGGTGCAGGTGTTTTCCCCTCCCTCCACCACAGATTATCAAATTACCATTTTGCTGATCTAACTTTTTTTGGTTGGTTGGTTTTGAGTTGTTGGGGGGGGAGGTGGTGGTGGTTTTGGTTTTGTTTTTTTTTTTTTTTTGTCTCCTTCTTAAATCAAATTTTTATTGCTAAGAAATGCTAATTTGCAAGATGCCTCTCTGGAGAACTGCGACTGAAGAGCCCAGCTGCCTCAGAAGAGCCGAGCTGCTGCCTGAAACAACCTCAGCTGCTGCTGTTCCATGAGAAACCCCAAACCTGGGACAAAATGGACAGTTTTTCTCTAAATATAAGAGAAAAAAAACAGCAGTCGTGTTGGAGGGCTCCGTGGCTGCCAAGAGGGTGGCTGAGCAGTGGCTCGGGACTAAGCACTGCATCACATCAGAGGGGTTGATCCCCAGTTCCCTGGGGTGCTGGGAAGGCTGAAAAATAGGTGATTCCCAGCTGGGACGAAGAACTTGGCTCCTTCCCAGGCTGCGAATCAGCTGGAAAAGCTGATTCTCCTCCTGGCAGCGATGAAGCCACCCTGTCCCTCCTCCTTGCCAGCAGCAGAACTTTGCTGAGCGGGGCGGGCGATAGGATCACGGCACAGCCCGTGCAAACACTTAATCTCTTTCAGAAGAGGCTGAAGGCGCGTTTATGGTGGGTTTTTAATAGCAGGCTGGATAAACAGCAGCGATAACCCGCGCCGGGCTCCCGGGGGATGATTAATGCTCCCAGAACAGTCACGCTCGCTCGCCTCGGGGCTGGGATTGTTTTCGGTTATTAAAGAAAGGGGGGAAAAAAAAAAAAACCAGCAGGGGGAATAATGGACTTTGCCATGTTTTATTGGGCTGACGGTTGCAGAGGGAAGTCGTCGACCTCTTTGCTCACCCCGTATCAGTGCCCGGTGCTGGCTGGCGAGGATGGGGGGATGGAGGATGAGGACTGAAGGAGGAGGGAGGAGGGATGAAGGAGGACAGGTGAAGGATGAAGGACGAAGAAGTAGGGATGGTTTCTGGCCAGGTTTTTACTTCTTGCCCTGTGACACTCTTGGCCACATGCCCAGCACTGTGGCTGGTGGTTCCCCAGGGGCTGGGCTATCGGGGGCTTGTGTTTGTTTAGGACCCTCCCAAAACTTGGGCATCATTTAGAGGCCCTGAGCCCACCACTGCCTCTGGTACACTGCTTATCCAGGACCTTGTACTGTCATTGCACATCCTCAGGGCCCTCCTTGCAGTGGGCACGTGCCTGTGCTGCTGGCACTGGTCCCAGTCTGGGGATTAAGGCTGAAGAGAGCTGATGGTGGAAACCACATCTCCATCCCCTTCCCATCCACCTCTGGCCCCACGGAGCTGCCCAGCTGGGCAAAACACATGGTCCCCCTGGGGCTGTCCCATGCTGCCAGCCTGGGTCACCTGTGTCCCCACACTTGCACCAGGACCAGCTTTTTCCTGGAACAATAAACCCTTCTCCTAGGGCAGGACTGTGCTGGAAATTGTTGCCTTTGGGGTGGGGTGAAAACTGTGATGATAAGGAGCTTTCTGCTGAAAAGCATTTCTTCATCACACTGAGTGTGCACTTCTGGTGACAAAGCAGCACTTGCTGCCCCGGGGCCGGGGTGAGCTCCCACCCTACCCCATCCCCACGCAGAGGGGACTCGCCGGGCTTTAAACACATCCCTCATCCAGGGAAAAGCTGGAAACAGCCCCACAGCATTGCAAAACCCCTCTGCTGAGACCTTTTGCAGTCAGACAGCAGGAGTGAGGACTCCTGGGCCCCTCCTGCTGTCGCAGTCCCCAAACCCAGGTGACATCGAGGGGCTGCACCGGCCTCAGTAGTTACTGTAATGGTTCAAAATCATTTTAGCAATCACAGGTCTGAAATAAATGGCAAAAATTCCAGTTGCTTGGGGCGTTCCTTTCATTTTTTTTTGAGAAGATCAGAATAAAAGCTGTTTGTTTAGATGAAAAATTTGGACCGGAGAAGTGTTTTTTCCCGTCTCCCTCACGGCAGCGTCACCACAGCTGGGAAAGCGGCTTAGTGAATTATACACTATGATAATTGATTGAATTCATCAGTAAATAAAGCAGCAGCCTTTAAACTCGGGGTCTGGAGAGGGAGGAAAAAATTCTCCACGCAGTGGTTTGTACCAACGGGCACAGGACTCGCCGTGCCCACCAAACCACAGCCACCAGGAAAAGTGACACACGAGGCTGCACATCTGATTTAAAAAAGCTCTTTTTGGGTTTAAATCAGGATGGAATCCTTTCTCACCAGAGGGGAATCCTTTCTCTCCCCTCCAGAAGCTCCTTGGTTCCTCAATTAGAAGTTTTGAAGCACCCTTGGGATGGGGAAGCCAAAAATGTGGTTTATAACAAAAGAAGGGAAAAATGATCTTGAGCATCCCCAGGCAGAGGTCTTAGGGCTGGGATATACCCAGATAAATCACAAAATCTTCCCAGCCAGCACCTGGACCATCCCCAAATCCCTGCTCCTTTGCTCCACCACCGCTGCTCACCCTCTCCCATCACCACCCCATGGACAATACCTTGCATCTCCCCTAAGAAACATTTGCTGTCAAAACTCCGTATTTCCTTCTTTTGGGGATTCTGGGTTGCACCAGTGAATGCCCCTTCCAGCACTGTGGGCAGGGAGGCTCTGCAGGTCTGGCAAGCCAAGGAGCTGATCCGAAATGCCAGGAGCAAGTCGTGCTCCTCCTCGCGTGAGGCACCGCGGCGACAGTCCGGCCATCGCACACGTGTCCACGCACACGCACCCGGGCAGGGGGAGGACAAAGTCTCCACACGGGGATGATGGCGATGAAAAATGATGGGAAGCCTCCTCCTGGGCCAGGGCAGTCGCCGGGGATGCCACGTCTCGCCCGGCGTCGCCCGAGCCCGCGTCCCCCCGAGCGGTTCAGCATCCGTCTCCGTGGCAACGCATTTCTCACATCCCTCGGTATTCCTGTCCCTCTGGTCCGTGGTGCTGGCAGCCCTGGGTACCCTGCGTGCTGGGAGCAGATGGGTGTCCATGACCCATCCCAGCACCCCTGAGAGGGGTGAGGAGAGCAGGGATAGATCCTCCTGCTCCGCAGGGTGCCCATGGGGGTCTCTGAGCCCATCCTTGTGCCCCAGCATGGATTTGGAGCAGCACGGAGGCACCAACGGGCATCTGCCAGCTCTGCCTTCCTGGGCCAACAGTCACATCACCTGCCAGCACTCTCCTTCATGTGGGATATTTTTCTGCCTGATCCCAGCTGGAGTTTTATAGCATGGATGACACAGAGCTGTGGGCACCCTTGGAGATGCAGCCGTTGAAGAGGAACCTCTTCCCCAGCACAAAGTCCCGCAGCAGCAGCAGCAGGAGCAGCAGCAGGAGCAGCAGCAGCAGCAGCATCAGGAGCAGGAGCAGCAGCAGCCCCTCTTGCACCAGCCCTGGGAGATGCTCATGTGTGAAGTGACAGAGAGCTGCCCTTCCCCTGCAGAATCATCCACTGGACACATCCACCTTGGAAAAGCCCTCCCTGGCTGGGATTCCCGGATACCAGTGACACTGCACAGACTGTTTCAGCCTCACTGCTCTCCCAAAACCCCCACTGGTGCCGGAGGCTCCACCACAACAACCCAGAGCTGGGAAAACCCCTCCCTGGAGCAGCTGGAAACGGAGGCTGGAGGGGCGCAGGAAATCTCCATTCATCGGCACTTGGGCTCCAGCCAAATTGGAGCCAAACCAACCATTTTTCTCCAGCTTCCCAGTAAACTGGACTTTCCACAGAGCTGTGACTGGTGGGGAAGGGGGTCGTCAAGGGGGGGATACAGGTAGATGCTGGCTTTGCCCCCAGCTCCATGGTGTCCAGGCTCACAGGTGGTGCCAGTGCTGTTGGCTCTCCCCTATGGGATTGGAATCAGGGGGATGAAAGATTTTTGGGTGTCCAGGTCAGCCTGTGCAGGTGGTGGGTGGTAGGGCAGGGTGGGAAGTCGTGATTTTTGGCAGGAGGTTTAATAGATATCAGAGTTGCAGTCTCCTAAGTCCCTTCTTTTTTAAAATGGCCCTGCACACCCTGTAGGGTTCCCAGTCCTGGCAGGAGGACTTGCCTCTTGTCAAGGGGCCACGTTGTCCCTGTGGACCCACCCCCTGGACTCACCCCAAGGGCCATGGTGGTGCTCAGCTGCTTCACAGCCCCCGGTAGGGTCAAAAAGTCAAGGGGTTTCCCTCTCTCCCCCTAAAAGAAGCTCCCCCTCCATGGCAGGTGTCTGCTGTGTCCTTATGGGGTGGTTGTCCCAACAAGGAGTGATGGGCTCAGCCAACCCAGGGCCTAAGCTCAGCCCAGGCACAGTTCCCAGGGCTGAGGTTGGGCCCTGGGGAAAAGGGATTTAGTGGATTAAATAGAAAACAAAACAAAAAAAAATACAAAGGAACTGTCAAGCCCACTGACATGGGTCTGGTTTTCATTTTGAAGGAACTTTTTGTTTCTTGTTTGTCATCAGCCTAATTCCTCCAAGTCCATAACACTTGGTGTGATGTGATGTGATTTCCCTCACAGCCAGGAGAAACACTCAATATCTCGGAAAAACGAGGCTATGCCGGGAAGGGGGTCACTTTGGCAGGAAGCAGCACGAGATGGACCTTGGCTGTGTCCCACAGGAGTGTTTTCCCTCCTTCCCTTGCCCTTGTGCCCTGTGGTGGGTGGCCAAGGTGCTGCCAAGGGGCATCCCCCGTGTGATGCCTGTGTGGGGTGAGGTGTCCTGCCAAGCCCCATGGACCAGTTGAGCTGGATCCCCCCGTGCCGAGCCGGGAGGGGACCGGGACCCTGCAGGGATGTAGGTGCCTCTCACCCACCCCGTGCACCCCAGCCTTCCTCCTTTCTCTTTTTTCTGCCTTTCCCTTGATTCTCCTCTTGATTCTCCTCTTGATTCTCCTCTTGATTCTCCTCCATCTCCTTCCCTCCCTCCCGTCCCAGCCCCTTCCCCTGCCCTCCCGGCAGGGCCAGGAGCCAAAGGGACTTTGCACCCCGAGGCAGCGCTCGCTCCCCGCTCCTTCCCCGCAAGCCTTGGAGCCGCCGAAGGGAAAGCGGAACGCTCCGGTCTTATCTGCGAGGGGAGGCAGGCTCGGTGGGCAGGGTTTGCGCGAAGGCTGCTGGCTTATAAGCAGCCGGCAGCGGAGGCAAAGCTGTCTCGGAAGGCACCGAACGGGGCCCCCCCTCCGCGCAGCGCTCCCGCCGCGATGCCCCCAGCGCTGGGGCTGCTGCTCGGGCTCAGCCTGGCAGGTGCCCTTCGGGCCCAGTTCGAGCCCCCCCAGCATCCCGGCACCGAGGAGGGGGCCGCCCTCTTCGCCAGTGACTACAACAGCACGGCCGAGCTCGTCCTCTTCGAGAGCGTCTCGGCCAGCTGGAATTACAACACCAACCTGACGGCGGAAAACGCTGCTCTGCAGGTGGGTGGCGGGACGGGGGGCGATGTCACCACCGGGGTGGCCCCAGCGCCGGGGGCTGGGGGGGCTGGGGCGGGGTGGAGGCACTTGGTGCGCTTCCCTTCCTCCCTGCGGGGCTCCTGTCTCGGCACGTCGGGATGGCAAACCAGGGCTGGGAGTCGTAGTCCGGGAATCGCAGGGGTTTGCCCCAGATTGGTTCTTGGAGAGGCCGTGCCCCAGAGTGACAGCTCTGGTCCCAAAACAGAGTCCGGGTTATTTTTAGAGATGATTCCTTACTCCCAGCACCTTCCACTTTCCTCCCCCGCCTTCCCAGACCAGGGTCAGGTGTCAAGTGTCCCTGTCCCCATCCCTGCCTGCTGTCACCACGTCCCAGTGCTGGGGGTTTTAGTTTGGGGCAGACTCAAAGTGCACAAGCAACTGGGTGGCATCGTGACTGAGGCTGCCATCCCTTGTGCATGTGTCCCCTGTCCACGGGGACGGAGCCAGCTTTGGGGAAGCACTCCAGGCTGCTGGGAATTAGACATCAGCCCAGCTACGTGCAGGCAGAGTCCCTGTGGGGACCAACTGTATGTGCATCCCACAGGCATGTGCTTCTTTTCCCGGGGGTCTGTGTGTGTTTGGGCTGGATTTAGTGGGTCAGGGAGCTGGAGAAACCCAGGGGTTACTCTCACTTGGGTGAGTTGCAGCACAACCCAGGCCAGGGGATGGCAGTGCCCGGGCAGGCTGTGGAGGTTTCCCTGGATCTTGCTGTGCCCAGGGAGCTGCTGGTGGCCCTGGCACAGGGTCATGGACAGGTCACCACTTGTAGCTCAGGGATAACCTGCCACCCCTATAGCTACAGGTGCAGCCCATACACAACCAAGGTGTGTTCAGGGACCCCAAAGTCACCCAAGGGCTACCACACAGCCCTGAACCCCCCAGATCTGCGGGGGTGGGAGCACAGTGTGCCCTGTGCAGGAAGGAAACACGTCTTCCTGTGCAGGGGGAGAGATCCCTGCTGGGTCTGGCCACTGCCAACTTGGCAGGACACCCGAGAGGGCCCAAGTTCCCCTTCAGCCTTTTTTTTGGTGAGCTGACGTGATGTCTGGGCAGGCAGCCAGCCCAGACTCCAGGTGTGGCGGGGTCAGGGACCCTGGGGCAGAGCAGGAGCATCCCAGCCGTGTTGAGTCCAAGGTCAGGGCCAAGAGAGCACCTTGCATGGGCTTTTCTCAAAAGGTATTTCCAGACTGGCTTTCACCCTTTTCTGTGCTATTAAACGTGTGAGGATCATGTCCAGGAGCTCCCTGGGATGTCATGTAACATAAGAGGGACTGAGTCAGGCCAACATGGCATGGGCAGCTCCAGGACCTGCCACGAAGGGTGGCCCTGGGACAAAGTGACATGGGGGGCAGGAGGTTGAAGGCAGGGGCAGGGACGGACAGAGGCATTCTGGACAGACAGATGAACCATCTCCTGCAAGCTGGGGCTCTGGGCAAGAGGTTGATGATAGTGTTTGGGGTTTGTGAGCTGCTCATGGGCGCAGAACTTCTCCAGGTGTCCGGGGCAGGGCAGTCCCAGTTTCCTGGGCTGCATCCAGAGCCTTTACCAGGAGCAGAGAGAGACCAGGGTGGGAGATTTGGGGGCTGCTGATGTCCAGGGGCCTCTGAGCCACGCACAGGTGCACCCCCCCAAGAGAGAGATCCCAGATGTGGAGGCAAAGGGCCAGGGCTGGTGGGCACGGGCACGGCGAGGGGGTCTCGGGGCAGCGCCGCTGGGCTCAGCTCGCTCCACCGGAGCTGTCAGGAGAGTTTAGGGCACGATTCACTTGACCAAACACAGGCGCCTGTTCAAGGAGAAGACAAAACACAGCTGGACTCTGCTTCCTCCTGCTCCCCCAGCTCCGTGCAGGGTCTGGGGAGGGGTGAAGATGTCCCCTGTTCAGTGGGATGATGCAAGAGCAGGGTGTCCGTGGGGCTGGCACACCCTGGCATGTCAAGGGATTGGGGCCGGTTGGTACCTGGAGTGATGCTGTGGGCACTGGGGTGTCCAACGGAAGGGTGGGAGCCTGCTGCTGGGCTGCCAGGCCACCTGGCACTTTTGACATTCCCACCACCCTGTCCTAGGGCTGTGTGGGTGTGTCTGCCCCGGGCAGCTCCAACCCTGCTGCTCCACGACTCCCTTCCCTCCCCACTGCCAACTGAGGGAATGCGGAGATTAAAATAAAACAAACCAGGCGTGTTGGAGCCGGGCTAAAAATGCCACGAGTCACAGCTAATGAGCTCCATAAATCACACCGGGCTGGCACATGGACACCAGTCAGGAGCTCTGCACGGTCTCAGTCCACCCTGTGCATGGCCTGGGCCGGGACACTCTCAAAAGCTCAGTTTCCCAAAAACGCAGCTGACAGTGACCGGGCTGGGATGTGACCGCCTGCAATACACCCTGTCCCAAAATCGTGGCCACAGCTCCAGCTGCCTAAACAACCCCCCATGGCTCAGGCAGCTCCCTGACGCCCCACGGGCCTGGGAAGAGAGGTTGGGGCTGGCAGATGGGTGACAGAGGGACCCAAAACTGAGGGCTCGGAACCAATGGGTGCCCCTCTGCAAGGGGGAACCCAGATAAGGCACTTACAGGGCACGGGGTGCAGACACCCAAGAGAGAAATGGATAGAAATAGAAATGTACAGACACAGAAAGGAGGGAGAAAAGCAAATAGGGCATCGCAGAGCTCCTTCTGAAACCAGGGTCTGGCAGCTGCCAGAGCCAGCCTTGGAGCACCTGGACACCCTGCCTGTGTGGCCTGGGCACCCAATCCCAGCATTCCCACCCCATCTGGGCCACAAGACCCCAGAGCTGCCTCCCAGAGATCCTCAAAGGCCACGTTAGTGGGTGTTCATCAGGAGTGCTGCAGGCGAGTGGGGGCTGCAGACACTGCTGTGTGGGCTGGAAGTGATGTCTCCATCTGTGGATGCCACGGACTGGGGACAGCCCTGCCTGCCACCTCACATCCCGTCACCTCTGACTCCCACAGACCCTTGTGGCTCTGAACCCCCTCCCCAAACCATGGTCTGGCTGGTGGCATGTCCCAGGGCTGGTCCTGAGCCCCCATGTCTCCTCTCTCTGTGCAGGTCCAGGCGTCGCTGGAGGAGCAGAACTTCACGGAGCTGTGGGGGAAGAGAGCCAAGGAGCTCTATGGCAACATCTGGAGCAACTTCACAGACCCACAGCTGAGGAAGATCATCGGCTCCATCCAGACCCTGGGACCCTCCAACCTGCCCCTGGACAAGAGAGAGCAGGTAGGGGAGGTGCCAGCAAAGCCCTGGGCACTGTTGGGTGCTGTGAAACCCCTTAGGGGGACTTTTTCCGAGCATGCAGACTCTGCTGCTGACCTGCTGTATTTTGGAGGGTGTCACTACCCCCTGCACAGAGAAGGCAGTGATGGATGGGGGAGATGGGGTGCTGTCTCCGAGGGATGTGGGGTGCCAGCCCTAACCTCATCCTGGAGCTATTCCAGCGGGAACTGGAGATTTCCTGCTTACACAGAGTCTTGGGCGTCACCTGGAGACGAGCCAGGCTGTGCCCACAGCCAGGGCCAGCTCTCCCGACCCCTCGGGGCTCCTTAGGGATGCAGCCCCCTGAAAAAAAGGGCTGCTGCAGCCACCCGGCTCCTGAGCCACCCGTGAGACAAGGAATGCCCTGGTGACACAGTTCCGTGCCAGGGACATCAGGACATCCTGAGCCTTCCCCATCACGGTCCTGAGCTTTCAGGGCAGTTTGCCTGAATTTTGATTTCCATGCATGAAAATATTGCCCAGGCTGAGGCTGGCAGACACTCACCTCTGCACGAGTGCGGGGACCGTCCCCTCCGTCCTGACCCGCAGCTCCCTGACAGCCATTCCCACCGAAACCCCGGCAAAGCCCGGGGATACAATCCTTTCCGGAGAACTGGCGCCGGTTCCTTCCAGGAAACCCATCCCTGCCTTCTCCCAAATAACAGAGAGCATCATGTCTCCTCCCTGCACATCAGTCATGTCTCGCCCATCCCTGGGCAGCTCCGTCCCACAGCCACCACTGCCCCCATCCCCATCCCCTCCGCCCAGCCGGAGCAGAGGGATGGGAGCAAGGAGAGAGACAGAGCAGAGGAATTTCCTTCCCTGGGAATGGGTTTCCCGGGCATGTTCCAGGAAACCTCCCGTTGCTATTGTTTGCTGTTGTTGAAGTTCACAGAAAAAAAAAATCCCCCCTCCTCCTGCTTTTCTTCTCGTATTTTTTTTAACCCGTTTAGATAAACAGGCTGTGCCGTGGCCCCGCTGACAAACAGCTTTATAAACAGCCCCTCTCCAGAACACCACTGTGCAGGGATTGTCTGTCCCAGAGAGCCTCCCTGTTCCCACCCTGCCATGGGTGCAAAACCCCGGGGTGATAACACACTTATCTCACCAAAAACGTGCTGTGTAAACACAGCGATCCTTCTCCACATCCCTCCGGACACACACAGCCTGTAGGTCCCTCCTGAAGGGTCGTTCCTGTCCTCTTCCAGCCCCAACATCTTTTCCTTTCCCACAGTACAACACCATCCTGAGCGACATGGACAAGATCTACTCCACGGCCAAGGTGTGCCTGCCCAACGGCACCTGCTGGGATCTGGAGCCAGGTACGGTCCCTGTCCCCCCGATCCTGCGGGGTGCTGAGCACCCCATGGCCATGGCATGGTCCCCACATCCTCAGCGGGTTGGGATTGGCAGATCCCACCCACGTTCATCGGGATTGCCCCGGGGTGAGGATGGGTCCGGGTGGTGGTGGTGGCATCTCTGCAGCGCTACTGTGGGATGTGCCCCCTCCTCCTGTCCCTCTCTCATGTCCTACTTGTCCCCTCTGTCCCAGACCTCTCGGACATCATGGCCATGTCCCGCAGCTACAAGAAGCTGCTCTATGCCTGGGAGGGGTGGCACAACGCCGCGGGGAACCCGCTGCGCCCCAAGTACGAGGAGTTCGTGCAGCTGAGCAACGAGGCCTATTTGGCAGATGGTATGAACCCAGGGGGGGATGCAGGGGGTGGTCAGGGGTCAGGGGTGGGAATTGGTGCCGGGACAATGCCCTGCTGCTCTCTCTCCCCACCCCACATGCAGCCAGACATCCAACTTCTAATTTTCCCCAGTGCCAGCACTTCGGGGAAGGAGCAAAAATCCTACTGATGATCCTTGCTCCCAGCTTTTGGGGGTGGGTGGGTGGATGGGGCTGGAGCCAGAGGTCATCCCTGTCTCCCTGGCAGGATTTGAGGACACAGGCAGCTACTGGCGCTCCTGGTATGACTCAGACACCTTTGAGGATGACCTAGAGAGTATCTACAACCAGCTGGAGCCGCTCTACCTCAACCTGCACGCCTTCGTCCGGAGGAAGCTCTATGACTACTACGGCCCCAAATACGTCAACCTGAGGGGTCCCATCCCTGCTCACCTCCTGGGTAAGAGATGGGACCCCCCCAGCCTGTGCCCAGGGGTGCTGGTGGGGTCAGGGGAGCACACAAGGCCCTAATGGGACAGAATGGTCCCGGTTGTCACCGTGTTTCTCTTCTGACCTACCACCAGCTCTGCTCCAGCTGTTTTCTCTTCTCAGGGAACATGTGGGCTCAGCAGTGGAACAACATCTATGACCTGATGGTCCCCTACCCTGAGAAGCCCAACCTTGATGTCACGAGTGCCATGGTGCAGCAGGTGATGGGCTGAGGGACTCACTGGGGGCACCAGAGGCAAAAAAACGGGGGTGTTGCCCAAGGCTGGCCCATGACATTGACCCCATGGGAGTGGTTTACCTGCATGGAGGACAGCAGAAAAGCCGTGTCCAGAGGGGAAGGGACAAAGAAATTACCTCACTTTGGCAATGACCAAAGAGGCAGTGGGTGGGCAAAGAGGAAGGGCAGTGCAGTGGGATCGGTGCCAGTCCCAGGGTTGGGGGCTGTGTCCACACCATCCCAGAGCTCTGAGTACCCCTGAGGCATCAGCCCTGCTCCCTTCTCCTGTCCCTGCCGGGCACCAACACCATTGCTCAGTGCTTCTTAGGAGGTCCATACCAATTCTGGGGCTGGGACTCCCCACCACGGGGAGAGGGGCTGGACCTTGGTCCCTTGGAATGATCCCCTTCATCCCTGTGGTGCTGGGAGAGCACCCGGGGCAATGCCCTGCACATGGGCAGCCCCTTCCTCGGCCATAACCTGCTGCCTGCTGCCCACCAGGGCTGGAATGCCACCCACATGTTCCGGGTCTCAGAGGAGTTCTTCACCTCCTTGGGGCTGCTGGAGATGCCCGAGGAGTTCTGGAACAAGTCCATGCTGGAGAAGCCGACGGACGGGCGGGAGGTGGTGTGTCACGCCTCAGCCTGGGACTTCTACAACCGCCGAGACTTCAGGTCTGAGGGGGCACCAGGGACACAAGGCTGTGGAGTAAGACCCTCCTCCATCCCCCTCGGTGGTCACCTTTTTGGGGACCCGCAACCTGGCCCTGCAGCCCAGTCTGGCACCTTCTGAGGCAAGGTCTTGGGTGACCACACTGTCCTGCCTTCCCCTCCACTGGGTCTGTCCCTTAATCCATGGGGTACTGACACCTGCTCCGGGACTGTGGAGGGTCCTTCCCGTGGAGCGTGTGCACAGACAGCCGTGGTCCCTCCCCCAGCTCAGGCAGTGCTGTTTTCACCACAGGATCAAGCAGTGCACGTCGGTGACCATGGAGCAGCTGTTCACGGTGCACCACGAGATGGGCCACATCCAGTACTACCTGCAGTACAAGGACCAGCCCGTCTCCTTCCGCAGCGGGGCCAACCCTGGCTTCCACGAGGCCATCGGGGATGTCCTGTCCCTGTCTGTCTCCACCCCAAGCCACCTCCACACAATCGGTCTCCTCAGCAATACCACTGAGGATGAAGGTACAGCAGCCACCCCGGCGAGCTGGGTGGCCTGGAGGGCTCAGGCACTGCCTGCAGCACTAGGAAGGGTTTGGGAGATGCCAGGGTGGGCTGCAGTCTGGCAACACAGCCCAGAGTAGGCACAACCCCTTCTTGTCTCCATAGGTCCTTGCAGGACCTATTTTGCCTCCATGGGTCCATGTAGGACCTATTTTGTCTCCATGGATCTAAGCACAACCCCTTCTTAACTCCATGGGTCCTTGCAGGACCTATTTTGTCTCCATGGGTCCTTGCACAACCCCTTCTTAACTCCATAGGTCCTTCTAGGACCTATTTTTCCTCCATGGGTCTATGTCCAACCCCTTCCTGTCTCCTTGGGTCTTTGTAGAAAACCCTTCTTTGCTCCATCCTCTTCACCCCTGAGGGCAGGGGGGATGCCCTCCAGAGCTCGTCTGTGCCATTCCTTTCTCCATTGCAGTCCCCAAACCTGCAAACAACATCTTTGTGCTTGATTGGCTTTGACCTTTCCAGCATTCCTCCCTCCCTCCCTCCCTTGCCAAGAAACATCCACCCCGGGAGCTCCCGGTGCAGCTCTGCGGAGGTGGCACCGAGCACTTCCATGCACAGTCACGAGGACAGTCAGGGGGTGACATGTCCTCCTGCCAGCCAGTGAGGCAGAGCAGGACTTATCCCTGCAGGGCACTGCCTGCCTTGGCAGGAGCCTGTCCCCCCTCCCGACGTCTCTCAGCCGCCACGTCGGAGCAGACGGCGGCAGAGGAACCTGAGCTCTCCCAGACCTGCCCCAGGCTCTGCTTGGCGGAGGAGGGACGGCACTGGGATCCTCCTGCCGCGTCATTAAATACATTTTATGATGAGAAAGACATCCCAACAGCCAAGAGTGTTGGGCCAACGCTGAATAAACAGCACGGAGCAGATGGTCCCTGCCTCGAGCCATCGCTGCCCGGCCAGCCAGCCCTTGGCAGGCTGGCCACCATAGTGGTGGCAGCCAGTGGACCCTCAGGGCAGTGCTGCCAACCCCTCTCTGGCCCCACAGTTTCAGCTGGGTCTTCATCAGGTCCTTCTCCGACCTTCCTTCCGCAGGTTTTCTCAAGGGGAAGAGCAGATGTCACCACCCCTGTGCTCCCCGTGATGTGGTGGTTGCACATGATGTGACTCTTGGGGATGGTCCTATGCAGGGCTAAGGGTTCAGCTCCATGATCCCTATGGGTCCCTTCCAACTCAGCATATTCTGAGATTCTGTGACTGTCCTAGAGTTGACTCCAATTCTGGGTCTAAACCTCCAGAGTTTTTGCAGTGATGTGACAGCCCTGCCGATCAAACCCTCAAAACCCCCTCACCCTGAGGCCCCAGGGCGAAGGTCTGAAGAGTTAAACTCACCAAAGACCTCACTCTGAGAGCTGGGCTAAAGGCAAGGGGACACCACACTTGGTCACTGTCATTGTCCCCACTCGGTAAAAGGCACGTGTTGCCCCAGGTAGGAGATGTATCTACAGAAACCACCTGTGTCCTACACAGCCTTCTCAGGAGCAATGTTATGTGTTGAAATGCCGTCCCCATTTCTCACCCAGGTCTGCTCACCTTCTTACCCACCTGGTGACCGTAGAGTTGTCTATCCAGACTCCTTCCCAACCTGGTTCAGGCTCTGTTTTTCACAGAGAGCAACATCAACTACCTGCTGAAGATGGCCCTGGAGAAGATTGCCTTCCTACCCTTTGGCTACCTCATCGACCAGTGGCGCTGGAACGTGTTCAGTGGCCGCACGCCCCCGAGCCGCTACAACTCCGACTGGTGGTACCTGAGGTACAGGACACTCACCGAGGGTGGGTGGGGGTGTGGAAGCCTGGGGTGTGCAAGGAAGGTAGGCAGGAAAGAGGAAAGGAAGGAAAAAAAGGAAAAAGTAGCCGTGGAGATGGCTGGAGAACAATGGATAGATGGGTGGGTGGGATGGATGGGTAGGCGAGTGGATGGATGGACAGAAATACATGGAATCATGCTCTGATTGGCCAGATTTCTTCAGCACTGTGCCATCCCTTCCCACTCCCTGTCTTGATTCTTCTGATCCCTTATTATTTCCGTGCTCATGATGCTGTTCTCTGTTGTCTGCAGAACCAAATACCAGGGTATCTGTGCCCCTGTCACGAGGAATGAGAGCAACTTCGACCCTGGAGCAAAGTACCACATCCCTGGGAACACCCCTTACATCAGGTAGAGGAAGTGTTGGCAAGGGGGCTGAGCTTTGGGGCACAGTGGGTGGGGGCTCAGCCCTGTGGGCAGGGACTGGGATGTGCTGCTCCGGCTCAAGACGCGGAGATCACCGAGCGATTGGGACCACAAATGGTGGCGTTGGGCTCTGGGACTTGTCTGCTTCCCTTTGTCCCCAGTTCTGACCTTCCTGGGCTTCCTTGGCAGGTACTTTGTGAGCTTCATCCTCCAGTTCCAGTTCCACAAGGCGCTGTGCCAGGCAGCCGGACACAGCGGCCCCCTGCACACCTGTGACATCTACAGGTCCAGAGAGGCTGGAGACAAGCTCAGGTGGGGACAGGCACTATGGGCAGATGTGTGCATGGAAGCAGATGGTGTGCGAAGGAAGGAAAGGAGAAAGGAAGGAAGGAATAGTGGCTGTGGAGGTGGCTGGAGAAATAGCTTTGCAGATGGATGAATGGATGGAAATACATGGAAACACCCCCACTGATGGTGGGGTGAGTGGTCCTCACCAGAGTACTGCTCTTGTCCCCGCCACGAGCTCCCAACCAGACAAGAGGTCACTAAAGCACGTTTGGTTCCTGATGACTCCCTGGGTGTGAAATGTGTGAGTTTGTGATGGGGAGTCCTCAGTCCCCACATGCAGGACAGGTGGTGGCTTCAGAGGCAGTTCCCACATTCATGTCCCACTCAGGAATAGCATCTTCAACCCTTGTGATGCTGAGATACCATCACTGCTTCTCTGCCATCCATTCCCTGGCCTCATGTTGGCTCTTACTGTCCCACTGCTCTGCAGGGAAGTGTTGAAAGCTGGGTCTTCCAAGTCGTGGCAGGAAGTCCTGTTCAACTTCACTGGCACGGATAAGATGGATGCTGGGCCCCTCCTGGAGTACTTCAGCCCTGTCACCACGTGGCTTCAGGAGCAGAACAACAAGACCAACGAGGTGCTGGGCTGGCCTGAGTTTGAGTGGCGTCCTCCCATCCCTGAAGGCTACCCTGAAGGCATTGGTAAGGCTACAGCTCCATCCCAGGTCTGGGGAGGGGCAGGAAGATGTCCCCAAGGGACACCACTAATCCTCAATGCTGACAGGGGGCTCTGCAGTGGGTGGGGTGGTTCCCATGGCAGGAAAGAGAAATAACCAGCTCCAGTGGAGTCCCACAGGGTGTTGCTTCTGAGGAAGCCACTAATGTACCATTGTCTGAGGCTGTGGTCCTGCCGCTGTGGTGATGCCGTCAGTCATGGTGTGACAGCATCTGAGCTGCATCCTCTCTGCTCACATGGGAGGGTCTAGGGCATGCAGCTTGTCCTGTTGTCCCATCCTCTGTCCAGTGGATCACCCCAGCAGTGCCCATCTGCCACCACTTCTTGGCATGGGCTGCTCCCAAGTTGTGGCATTGGACCTGCAGTTCTGGGAAAAGCTCAACCATGGCTTCTCCATAGGGTAATGCTCTTGCAAAGAGAAGGCTTCTCCTGACCTTCCCCCCCTCTTCCCCAATTTATCTCCTCCTCTAGACAAAATAACAGATGAAGCACAAGCCAAAGAGTTCCTGGCCGAGTACAACAGCACAGCCGAGGTGGTGTGGAACGCCTACACCGAGGCATCCTGGGCCTACAACACCAACATCACCGGCCACAACAGGGAGGTCATGGTATGGCAACAACCCCGGGGCTGTGCAGGGAGAGCCAACAGGCAGGGCAGGTAGCTGGAGCCCAGGGCAAGTTTCAGAGGAGCTCTGAAACCCAGGGCAGCCTCTGCCCCTCGCCCAGGGGTGACATTCTCACCCCTTTCCATGAAAACCCTCATCGTTCCATGAGGCGCCCACAAAGGCAGCCGTGGGGAGGGTGTCAGTCGTGGGGTGCCGGGTGGTGTTTCTAGTGATGGCCTGTGTCTCAGGGATCTCAAAGTGATTCCTCTTCTGTCCTCGCAGCTGGAGAAGAACTTGGCCATGTCCAAGCACACCCTGGATTACGGCATGAGGGCCAGGCAGTTCGACACCTCCGACTTCCAGGACGAAAGTGTCACCCGCATCCTCAAGAAGCTGAGTGTCATCGAGAGGGCAGCCCTGCCTGAGGATGAGCTGATGGAGGTGAGCAGCAAGGGGACAGAGCAGGATGGGGTGTCCCTTGCCACTAACTTGCGCAGAGACACAGGCTCCCTCCAAAATTTAGGAGGTTCCATTGGGCAGCCACCCCCTGCCCTTGATAAAGGTGATAGCTTGGTACCTTCTACACAAAGCCAAGAGCCTCATCTCCAGGTTTTCCCACTCAAAGGTTGTCCTTCCCAGGCTGCAGTGGGGCCTGGATGTTTGGGTGACAATGGCACATTGCTTGTTGGCCCCAGGCCCCCTTGTTGCCTCCATTTGGGGTCACACTTGGCCTTGGAAGGGACCAGAGGAGAACATCTGAGAACACCTCAGTGGGCTGTGATATTGTCCAATGTCAGGAGCAAGGATACCTTGTTTACATGACCTGATTTCCTTTGCAGTACAACACCCTCCTCTCGGATATGGAGACCACGTACAGCCTGGCCAAGGTCTGCAGGGATGACAAAACCTGTCTCCCACTGGATCCTGGTAAGATCTGACAGGGTGTCCTGGGAGGCACCTGCACAGGCCCAGAAAGGAGAGATTTTTTAATGAGGGCATGAAGAGAGGTCGTGAAGGGTCTTTCCATCTTCTCTCGGGTGATGGCCCCTGAGCAGCACATTGGCTCTAGCACCATTGTGCCAGCTCAGCCTAGCCAAGAGCATCACTTTGGCTTCACTGCTCTCTCTTCAGACCTCACAGACATCATGGCCACCTCTCGGGACTATGATGAGCTCCTCTTTGCCTGGAAGGGCTGGCGGGATGCTTCTGGGAAGAAGATGAGGAACGACTACAAGCGATACGTGGAACTGAGCAACAAGGCAGCCGTGCTCAATGGTCAGTGCCCTGCTCCCTCAGAGCCCACCATGGTCCTAACCCCCTGTGAGCAGAGGACTGGGCTCTTCATCCAACTGGGGGTCATAATCCTAAAGGTGTGGAGGTCCCACTAACTCCCATGAGCTCCACTGTCTCGTAGACATGGAGGGACCTGGGGTGCCTGAGCAGCAAGACAAGACTCATGCCCAAGAAGGGCAGTGTCTGACAGCTGCTGCTCTTGCCCTGCCACAGGTTACACAGACAATGGGGCCTACTGGAGATCCCTGTATGAGACACCCACCTTCGAGGAAGATCTGGAGAGGCTGTACCAGCAGCTGCAGCCCCTGTACCTCAACCTGCACGCCTACGTACGCCGGGCCCTCTACAAGAAGTACGGGGCAGAGCACATAAACCTGAGGGGGCCCATCCCTGCTCATCTGCTAGGTGAGGCTGGGCTGTGTGTCCCACCAGGGATGGGTGCCTCTGAATCGTGCCAAGAGCTGAGGCTGGTGCCTGTTCAGCTCTGGCTGAAGGGCCAAGGTCCCATGAAATGGGTCTGCAGAGGACAGTCCGCCCCAGGGAAGGGCAGCACATTCAGCTGCATGGATGTGCAGGGATCCTGACAGGGCAGGGACCAGGCAGGGTGGTCCACATGTGCAGGAGAAGGGAGTAACTGGTTCCTTTTGCTCTCCTCTCCCTGCCTTCCTCCTCTCATCCTCCTGTCCTTCCCAGGCAACATGTGGGCTCAGTCATGGTCCAACATTTTCGACCTGGTGATGCCTTTTCCGAATGCCACCAAGGTGGATGCCACCCCAGCCATGAAAGAACAGGTCAGTGCTTTTCCAAGCTGCTCTGGGGAAGCTCCTCAGGACCCAGCACCCTTCAGCTGTTGCCAAATGATCTGATGTTGCCAAAAAAATCCACACCTCATCTCTATTCTCTCCCCACCTGGATAAGCCAATGGCTGGATCCAGCTCCAGCTGATCCCCAAGGATCCCTCTGCCCAGAACAACAAGGCTATCCCTGGCTTCCCATCCTTCCCACAGCCCCTGGCACCCCAGCATCCCCCATGGCCCCTCACCAGCTCCTGCTCTCTCCCCAGGGCTGGACAGCCAAGAGGATGTTTGAGGAGTCAGACCGTTTCTTTACCTCCCTGGGCCTCATCCCCATGCCCGAGGAGTTCTGGAACAAGTCCATGATCGAGAAGCCGTCGGACGGGCGGGAGGTGGTGTGCCACGCCTCGGCCTGGGACTTCTACAACCGCAAGGACTTCAGGTGCCCGTGGGGGGCAGGTGGTGGCCACACCTCGTGTGGTGCTGGGGCAGAAAGCGGCACCTTTGTAGAACAAGGGCACGTGGGCTGATGCCACCACAGTGTCTCTTGCACTGGGGCTGTGGCACCCCCACTATGGCACTGCCACTGGTACCCAAAGTGCTGGCACTGCTGGCAGGTGGCCCTATGGTGGACGGAGGGCAATCAGTGCCTTCCCTGCCCTGCCCTGGAGAATGGAAAACCCAATGAACAGGGACAGGGAAGGGGCAGGGTCAGCAGGAGATGCAGGGGAAGAGAGACACCAACCCCATGGAGCAGGACCAGCCCAGCCTGGCATCACGTGTGGGGTGGGGGCACATGGGAAGGGAGGCCAAAGGGAAAAACAGCTCAAGGGGATGTGATGGTTCCCAGAGATTTTCCCAGCAGCACTGCCCTCCCTTCTCCCCCAACCCCCATGTCCTGGTGCAGGATCAAGCAGTGCACGGTGGTGAACATGGACGACCTGATCACGGTGCACCACGAGATGGGCCACGTCCAGTACTTCCTGCAGTACAAGGACCAGCCCGTCTCCTTCCGGGATGGGGCCAATCCCGGCTTCCACGAGGCCGTCGGGGATGTCATGGCCTTGTCCGTCTCCACCCCCAAACACCTGCACAGCATCAATCTGCTGGATGAAGTCAAGGAAGACCAAGGTGAGCTGGGAGGGGGGCACCACACAGCAAATGTGGGAGTGCTGATGGGAACAGCTGGAAATGCAGAGGGGCAGGAGGGGCTGGGCAGGGTGGAAGGGGTCAGGGACATACGTGGTGCCCTTGCGTGCATGGAGGGGACAGGACCTGTTGGGGCCACCCTGCTCTGGGGCAGAATGACCCATCCAGGGTGGAGGGATGGGTGCAGCACTGCCTTGCTCACACCTCCATGCCCTGGGCAGAGAGTGACATTAACTACCTGATGAGCATCGCCCTGGACAAAATCGCCTTCCTGCCCTTCGGGTACCTCATGGACCAGTGGCGCTGGAAGGTGTTTGATGGGCGGATCAAGGATGACGAGTACAACAAGGAGTGGTGGAACCTCAGGTATGGCTGAATTCAGACCTGTCTCTGAGGCAAGGCCTTGGCCTTCATCCCACTGGGTGTTTTCTCCCTGTGGTGCAGTTGGCTGCAATGGGACACGATGGGATTCACAACCCCTCACACTGTCCCCATGGTGTCCCCTCCCATTTTACTTCACCCTTTTCTCCCCATGCTGGGCTAACTCTCCCTCTCTGGCCCAGGACGAAGTACCAGGGCTTGTGCCCACCAGCACCGAGGTCTGAAGATGACTTTGACCCTGGGGCAAAGTTTCACATCCCTGCCAACGTCCCCTACATCAGGTGAGCAAGCAGGGCTGGGGCTTGAGGGACACCACCTGGACACAGAAGCCTGGGCAGCTCCAGGGATTCTGACAGAGCTTCTGAGGAGAAGGTTGGATCTGGGAGTATTTCTCCCTATCTGAGGAAGACAGGCTCATCCACCCAGGCAATCCTAAGACACACATTACGGGAGAAATGGCCCAGCAGGTTGGACTGAGTTGATGGAGGTGCAGCTCCAAAGCCAGGGATGCTCCTCCAGACTGGGAAGGTGCAACCAGAGAATGAGGGGAGGGCACATCCTCTCTTGCACAGCCAGCAGCAGGGTCCGTTCCCATCTCCTCATCCCTCTCCACCAGGTACTTTGTCAGCTTCGTGATCCAGTTCCAGTTCCACCAGGCTCTCTGTACGGCAGCCGGGCACACGGGTGCCCTGCACACCTGTGACATCTACCAGTCCACGGAGGCTGGGAAGATCCTGGGGTACGTGTGTGGGCAGGGCAGAGCCAAGGTATTTCTGTCCCCCAATACCTCCAACTCAGCCCAGAAAGACAGGAGGCAACGCAGCCCCTGGTCATCCCTCCCACCCCTGCCCAAGCATGGGATGCTCCAGCCCCTGGGGTGTGGGGAGGGGGTACCTGGGGCAGGGGGTGCCTGGGGCAGGGGCACCTTGGGCTGGGCCCTGGGGCTGTGATTGCAAAAGCAGCCACTAGATGGTAGCTGGGCCCCTGGCAGGTGGAAGGCTCCCTCCCTCCTCCTCCTCCTCCTCCCAACCCCCAGTTCCTTGGGGAAAACAACCCCCTTGCTTCCAGAAAAGCACCTGCAAAATTAACCCTTTCACCCAGGAACTGCTCTGCATCAGGCTGGATTCGCTGGAGGGCTTTAATCCACGCAATCCCCCCTTTACCCACAAGTTAACCTCCTTCCCTGTGCCTTGGGCTGGCAGCCCCGTGGTCCTGAGGGTACAGACTGTACCCAGGGCTGCTGATACCAGGAGCCCCAAGGGAAAGGGAAGGGCTGGCAGCCAAGAGTGTGGTGGGGAACCCACTGGAGCTCATTTCTCCTGCCACAGGGATGCCCTGAAGCTGGGTTTCAGCAAGCCATGGCCTGAGGCCATGCAGCTCATCACGGGGCAGCCCAACATGTCAGCAGAGGCCCTGATGAGCTACTTCGAGCCGCTCATGACATGGCTGGAGAAGGAGAATGAGAAGAACGGGGAGGTGCTGGGCTGGCCCGAGTACAGCTGGACTCCTGACTCAGGTATGCAGGGCTCAGCCAAGCACAGCAGGTCCATGACAGGGCAGAGCTCAGCCCTCACCAGGGCCAGGATGAGATGGACCTGTCTTGGTGACCCCTGGCCACCCCAAAACCCACAGGGCATTTGGATGCTTCTCCTTGATTTCTCCTGGTGCTGAGTCTAAAGGGCATCCAAGACACCAGCAAGGGAGAGCTGGTGAGCCCAAAGCCACCACACCCACCGTGTCTCTCATTTCTCCCTTTTCCAGCCACTCTGGCCCCAGATGGCTCCAGCAAAACTGATTTCCTGGGAATGTCCCTGACCAAAAGCCAAGCCTCGGTAGGCGCCTGGGTCCTGCTCGCCCTGGCGCTCGTCTTCCTGATCACCACCATCTTCTTCAGCGTCAAGTTCTTCTCGTCCAGGAGAAAGGCCTTCAAATCCAGCTCAGAAATGGAACTGAAATGAGGCAGCCACCAGCGGGGCAGCACGGACAGGGTGCAAGCACGGGCACTTGGCCAGGCTGGCAGCCATGCCATGGGCACATTTGCCAACAAAGCCATGGGTTTCCACAGCCCAGGACTCCTCTCTCCTATCAGGTCAGACATTTCTTTCCACTATGCAAGAGCCAAAGCAGAGAAGAGCTATTTATTTGACAATGTCTGCATCGGAGGAAAGAGAAATTCCGGCGCCGGCAGGCACGGAGCCGTCACGAGCTGCCCCTGTGCCCAGGGCTGGAGCTGGTCCTGCCTGGTCACCCACCAGCCAACTCTGACCTGTGGGCAAAGCCACAGAGACTCGAGTCACAGAGGACAGTTTGGGGAGGGACAGAGCACGTTCTTCCCCCTGGTTTGCCTCTGCCAGGCTGTTCGTTTGCATGGATGAAAAATAAACCCATGTCTTGGCACCCTCCGAGCAGCAGCTCAGCTCCTTCTTGCAGGTGGGCTGGGATCTCAGCAGGACAAGGTTCTCCAGCTGCCACCCCAACCCAGTGCAAACACAAATCCCTGGGGACCAGCCCAGCTTTGGGGCAACACACTTGCAGCACCCAGCTTCCCCCATCCCCAGCATGAAAGCTCAGCATCCCCTTGCAGCATCTCCATCCCCCCCCCAGAATCCTGGCTCCCATCACAGCTGACAGCTCGTGGGTTCCCTGTGAAGCATGTGCCTAAGGAAAGGGCTGGATCGGGGCCAGAAATCCCCAAAGTCCAGGCATGAGCTGTTCAAAGGGTTGAGGGGTCACCGAGCCCGAGCTGGGACAGGGCTGGAGCTCAGGACTGCTGTGACTCCAGCACTCGATGACACTCATTTACGTAAGAGCCCGGGAGGGGGGTCCAAGGTCAGCGATCGCCTCCCGCCCTCCAGCTCCCGATTATCTTGGGATCAGCCGCGCTTGAGGCCCCCCCTGCAGCTCCCCCCCGCCCCGGCCCGACTTTCTTCTGCTTCTGTAAATAAAACTTCGTATTTGTTCTGCGGTGATTAGGTGCAAAACTAATCCCAGGCCGGGGATTATTGCAGCCTTAAAGAGCTGCGATCCGCTGCAGCCCGGAGCAGCAGGGGAAATGAGGGGATCTGGGATGATCCACCCGCCCCCCTCCCATCCCATGGCCTCTGCCCTCGGTCATGCCTCACGCCGGGAAAGGGAGGCCTGGGAGCGGCTCCCGCCGCCTGGCAGAGGAGCAGGAGGCAGGTGTCTGCCCGCCCACGCTCCGGTGTTTGTTTGCTTTCCGTCCTCCTGCGAGCTCAGGTGCCCACGGGGAGGTGACACCCCGAGCAGGGCCGGGGAGCGGCAGCCCCAGCACCGACACTCACCCCGTGTCCTTCCCACAGCCACGTCCTGGAGTGTCTGCTTTATATCCCGGCACACCAGGCTCCCCCCTCTCCCCCCTTCCCACCAGGGCGATGCTCACAGAGCAGAGACCTGGCACGGTGAGAGCTGGGTTTGGAGCCAAGTGTATTTTGAGCCTGGGAAAGCAGGGCTGGTGCAGGTGTGCTCCATCCAGCTCAGCTCCTCCCCGGTAATTTGGAGCTCCCTGGCTCCTTTCTGCCCCGTTAGTGGAGGAAAAGAGGTCTCCGAGATCATCAAGATCCTGCAAGTTTCATGAAAATTGCTTTCTGGAGGAGAGGATTGGGGAAAAAAATAGAAAAGAGGCACACTGAACATTGTCACTCAGGGACTGCAACGCAGGCTCGGCCCTCGTTACACATCAGAGAATCCACCCAGGAGCCGGGTGTGTCCTGCAGGGACACTGGATGCAGCTGCAGGGATGAGTGATGGGTGCCCTGAGCTGTGAGCCCCTGACAGACAACCCAGGCCCACCATCCTTGCAGAAGACAGGGGCAGACACCAGGTTACCTTCAGCACAGGTCCAAGGTCCGTGCAGCAGGTGGGATTGGACACCAGCCAACCCTCAGCACGGGTCCAAGGTCCACACAGCAGATGGGATGGGGTTGGACACCAGATTACCTCCAACATGGGTCCAAAGTCCACCCAGGAGATGGGGCTGGACACAAAGTCCAGCCCAAGGGGAGGCTGAAGGTCCCACCTTGAGCTCAGCTGGAGCTGCTGGGCTGGGTGGGGGGTCTGGGTGATGCTTTTGAGGGCAGTGAGGGCTGGCTGGTGCCCTGAGGGCTCTGTCAAGCCGGCAGCAGTGTTTTACAAGATACCTTTAAACCAAGGATGATTTCCCTTCCCCGCTGCGATAACATCTGGAGAGATTTTGCTGCCTTCTGGCTCCTGCATCATGCTTGCTGCTGAAATTAGGAGGCTCAGCGAAATCACTCCCTGAGGAGAAGAGAAGAAACGTAAAAGCAGAAAAAAGGAAGAGATTCCCCCTCGATTCGCAGAACTCCTGGAGGGGAGCTCAGGAAGCAGTGGGTACTCGGGCTTGGGGGGGCTGCTCTGCACCCCCTGCCTGTACATGAAGCTCCCAGAGAGGAGATTTGCTTTAAGATCACATGAATTCAAAACAAGAAACACTCTGGGTTCCCTTCACCAGCTGAGGCACCCTTTGGGCACCACACAAACCCATTTTCCGTTTGTTTAGGTTCATTATCCGCCACAGGAAGGTGGCTGGGTGGGGGGGTTCCCACACCCCTCGGCCCCTTGATGCTGGCAGGGCCTGGCCAAGCCAGGTCTATTCTTAGCCGGCGGGTGGCCGGGCAGGAGCAGACAGGGTGAGTGGGGCCGCGTTCCTCACATTCCCCTTCCCCAGGGACAAGGAGCGCCGGGAAATATGCAGCCACAGCTTGGCAGCAGCTGGGGGCCATCAGCGGGGGCCACCCCGGGCAGGGGAGAGGGGGGAGGTGGCGTTGGGGGCGTCTCAGGGGACAGCAGAAGTGTGGGAGGGAGGGGGTGAGCTGTGGTAGGGTCTGGGGATGCCCCATCCCTGCGTCTCGTGGCTTCAGCCCCCCCAAGCCCTGGCTGGCACCATCCTTCCCTCCCCGCTGCTGGAGCAGGGCTGAGGGGGGTAGAGGTGAATTTGGGGGTGAGGGGCAAGTGGGAGGCCCCATATGGACCCCTCTAAGCAAGTTCAGACTCCCCCCAGCCCCATGGCTTGGCTAGAATTCCCTACCAAGGGGGACAGGGCCAGATCCATCCCAAATAACACCCCCACCCCTCCTATGTCCGTCCCTGATGGAGGATGGAGGATGGAGGACTGTCACCCGTGCCTGTGAACACTTTGCACCAGCACCCAGCTGGGTCCCACCCTCACCAGGGGATACACCTGGGGGTGTGAGCTGGGCTGACCCCCCCAGCCCCACAGAGCCCCCACCCTGCCTGGGCAGCATCCCTCCATCCCACTTCCTGGGGTGCCTCAGCAGCAGGACCCCAAAGCAGGCTCTGCCCATGTCCCAGCGCTGGTGGGGACTGTCCCCACCCCTGGGGCTCCCCCCTGAGCTGACACTGTCCCAGCGAGGCCTTGCAGGTGACAGGGAGAGAATTGTCCCAGACCAAAAGTGCTGGGAGAGTGTGGCCCTGCCCTTGGCACTCAGTCCCTCTCCCCCTTGCCCAGGAGGTTTTCCAGACCTGCTGCAGCCTCTGCCAGCATCCCCCTCCCACGGCCACATCCTGCCCTTCCCTGCTCTTCCCTGCAGCATCCCTGTGAGTTACTGCAGCCCGTGTGCCCCATCCATCCTCCTGGCAGGTGAGTCACGAGCCGGCCCCGTGCCTCAGTTTCCCCACTGTGCAGCGAGGACGGGCAGGATGCCAGGGTGGCTGCTATGAACCAAGTGGACCCCGTCCCAGAGGAGAGTCTCTGTGGTTTTTCCTGACACTTCCAAGAGTGGGAAGTGGCTTTCGTCAGGAAACAACATCCGTGACTTGGTTTAATGTCACTGAGTCCTTCCCAGGTTTGCAGCCTCCCCCCTGGGGCTGGTGTGGTGGAAGGCCCGAGCTGCTGAGGGTTCGTTTTGGCTGCACGTTTTACCTTTGTTTGTTTGGGTGGGGTTTTTTTCGGTTTCATACTTAGCAAACAAACGGCATGGAGCTCAGAGCTTGGAAAAATCAGTCAGGGTTTGGAGTGGTGGGGCAGAGGAGGGAGCCAGGAAAAGGACCATCCTTCCCCCTGCAAAATAAATTTACAGCCCCAATTCCTCCCTCCCCTGTCACATCCCTGGAGCATCTTCCAAAAGTGAAGGGCAAAGCAGGGGCATGAGCCGTACCAGGCACCAGGACACCCGAGCGTGTCTGGGGACAGTCCTGGTGGCTGGAAGCAGCTTTGGGGACCACAAGAGTCCTGTCTCTCCCCTCCCAGCTGTGTTTGCAGTGTGGCTCTAATTACAGAAATGTGGAGAAACGTCGTCTCTCAGTTGGCAAACATTTCTCCTGGCAAGCACCAGACGACAGCTGCCGTGCTGGGATTCCAGTGGGCTCCCATCCCCTCCATCCCACACCTCCCACCCCAAATCCACACCCCATTTCACGGCTGTGCCCCCTCTGCCGATGTGCCTGTGCCTGCCCAGGGCAGCCCCTTGCTGAGTAGGTGATAATTCCTGCACAGATTCTAATTCCCTGCACTCCCAGCTGGTTCCTTAGGCACTTGTGCTGCAGGAGCAGGGAATGGGAGGACACCCTTGGGAAGCGCCCAGGCCTCCTTTGCCCTTGGAAACTAGGTGGTTTCCCACTGATTCCCCAGGGTGTGGGAAGGAAGAAAAGAAGGGGAAAGGAGCAAAACCTCAAAAACACTCAAGAAGAAGGAAGAGGAGGAGGAGGAGGAGGAGGAAGAGGAGGAGGAGGAGAAGGAGACAAGGAAAGAACTGAGTGAGGGAGGAGGAGGAGACAGGGCAGGGAGACAGGATTACTGCTCAGTCGAATTAGAGGGAGCCCTTCAGCTGCCTTGAACAGCAGGAGAATTTGCCCGAAGACCCCAATTTTTCCTATTTGGGACAAAATGTAAGCACGGGATTAACTGCAAGCATATGCTTAAAACCCAGGGAATTGAAAGAAGTCTGGGCATAAAGTGCTCTGGAGAGGGCAGGGAGGCAGGGCATGGGCCAGCAGTCAGGGGGATGACCCGGCTCTGCAGGGATGTACTGAGGGAGGGGGGCGACTGGAAGAGCCATGGGTGCACCAGGAGGCTCCTGGAGCTTAGTGAATAATAGCCTGAAAGGGAATGACATGACTCAACTCCATCTGCGAGGGCTGTGTGGGGAAGAGGGTTGGTAAGAGAGGCTCTTCCATCAGCCACGTGATGGGATGAGGCTCCCTGGCAAGAGAAAAGGGGGAATCAAAGTGCCAGGCCCGGAGCAGGACAAGCCTTCCTGGGGTCAGCTGAGGGGCTGGGAGGCTGGGGTTGTGCCCTGCCCCGTGCCCAGAGCCCCCCACTCTGCGAGCCCTCACGTGCCCTTGCCGTCAGACACATCCGTGTCCACGTGACGTGCCCACGAACATCCCCGGACTGATTTACGGA